TAACTATAAGACTTAACTATTTTACGACTCTTGGCTTTAGACCTCTTCTTTTCTAAAGTTACTTTACCCTTGTTCGACACACGATCTTGACCCTTTTTCACATATAGTCCATCACCTTGAGTTCCTTCCTCTACATTTTGTCTACTTTATGAATGAGACAAAAGTGTAACAATAATCACATCAAGACTGGCAATGTCTTTTCTATAGGTAAAGGTAGTCACCAAGTGATCATAAATACTTAATAACGAGCACATCAAGATAATTGACTTATTTTCGTCATCAATATTCATGACAAAACTCACGAGATCGATGACTATGTTGTTTAAAACATTGATACATTGTTGCAAATCAGATACTTCTCGCATCTTCAGACTATATAGTCACTACTTCGCGAACACTTTTTTCATCAACTTCTTTTACATATATTGACTATCCAGTTTGTCTCAAACCTCATTTGACGTCGTTAGGACTAGGATATGATGCATTACCTCGTCTGAAACAAATAGGTGAACCAATCCCATAATTTTTCCTTCATCTTTGTCCAATCAATATCCTCTATGTCGGTCAATTTCCTCTCACGCAGTGGCTTTTGTAAACTTTATTGAGCCAACAAATCTTTAACCATCTTTTGCCATAATCTAAAATTACCTATCCTATCGAATCTTGTCACCTCAAATTTTGCACCAGGGTTGATCACCAATCTAATACCAATTGTTAGAACATGAACCAATTATATAAAAGATATTAAAGAAAAATAAAAGTAAAAAATAATGAATACGATCAATTATTTTTATTGCAATTCGTGAAACGATGCGAACCTCTGCACTAAAGAGTAATTATAATTCTTTTTTATTTTTGTAATGAATTAAAGTTACAATTTTACAATATATATATATATATATATATATATATATATATATATATATATATATATATATATATATATATATATATATATATATATATATATATATATATATATATATATATATATATTCTCTTTAATACTCAACTATAATTTACTATAGACTATTCTCTTTAATACTCAACTATAATTTACTATAGCCTATTGGTCTATTTTCATCTTATGTCATTTTAATATTATTGGTTTTAGTTTACATATGTTAATATTTTATAATCAATTACTAGCTATGTATATTCTTTTTCTTCATGTACATTATCCTGAATCTACTAGAGGAGGAAAAAGAAAGGCACATCATTTATCAGCCATGAAAAGAAATCATGCATGTAGATGAACCATTGGATGCACGTGTTTCTCACTTTTTTCTTCGAGACAAAACTATGCCAACCATGGAACTTCACTTTAGAAGTGAAACAATGTAAAAGCCACACTAGTCATTGTTTTCTCATTAAGTCTCTCCTGAAAAATCTAGCTAGTTCACGACTTTGGAAGATGACACTTGAATTTCTAAGATCCATTCATTGCTTCCAATGTTATATTCAAAACTATTATAAATAGGGTTTATCCATTCCTTCTTCAATCACTATGATAATTTTAAAGCTATAGCAATCTTTTCTCATAAACCCTAGTTTACTACAATCAACTTCAATATCCTTCTTATTCATGATCATGGCACCACTTGGAGAATCTTTGTTGTCAAATTCATTCTCAAAAAACAATAACAACTCATCAAACAAACCATCAAAGCTCTCAAATTCCGACCACCTTCAAAGAACGGTCTCGGACATTTCATTCGAGCTAACAAAAGAAATAGATAATTTAAAACTACCTTCGATATCCGAAGTCGAAGATGCAAAGTGCGAGTGTTGTGGCATGTCCGAGGAGTGCACACCGGAGTACATAGACCGTGTTCGCAACAAATTCAAAGGTAAATTTGTATGCGGACTATGTTCCGAGGCAGTGAAAGAAGAGTTGGAGAAAAATGGTGGGGAAAAACTAGAAGAAGCTTTGAGTACACATATGAATGCATGCGTTAAGTTTAACAAATATGGAAGGGCTTTTCCTGTTTTGTTTCAAGCTCAAGCTATGAAAGAAATGCTGAAAAAGAGTAACTTAGATGGGAAAATTAGGGCAAAGTCTATTAGTCCAAGGGACAAGAAAGGAGGAGGAGGACTCACACGTAGTTCAAGCTGTATTCCAGCACTTACAAGAGATATCAAAAATATCAAAACTTAAATCTACCTATCTAAAGAAAAATCGTATCCTAATAATGTGTGACAATGTTTACTAGTGAATTATGATCTTACTATAAGCTAGTTTTTTTATAGGCCTTGTAAGAAGTTGCCTTAGGTTTTTTTAGGGTTTTGTTAGCCCTTTTACTTCTCTAGGCTGCTTCTTTAATTTAGGTCTATGTAGATTTTTTCTAAATAATTTTGAGCAATATGTATCATTGACTTTTATGAATATGTTCTTGATGAATCAATTTGTTTTTCCTTCAAATTTTGTTGATGCAATTTTTCACTTCATGTATATGTTCGATTGATGTTCTTTAATTGTCATTCAAAAGTTCTTCTACTTTCATTTAAGATGTTATCAATTCGTCAACCACAACTTCAACTGTGATAAAAAAGTTAAGATTCATTGCCACTTTTTAAAAAATAGTTGTGCTTTAAATGTCGTAGAGTAGAAATCAAAGTAGAGCGCATAAAAAAGTTAAGATTCATTGCCACTTTTTAAAAAATAGTTGTGCTTCATGATCTGTTTAGATGTGCCAAATCCAAAATGTGCATGAAATCAAATTCCTCATCTCTGGTGTACTTTTCACGTAGATATTTTGGGTTTCAGAAATCTATGTTTTGAAAATATTGGTTGAAGAATTTTCTTAGCATATTTGGAGTAGTAGGCCAAATCAAAACTTGGAGGAACTATGAAGCATAGACAAGCCATTCATAAGACGTGTCGGCATGTCGGACACGTGTTCCACACGAGTACTCGTAAGACACATATTTGACACGTTTTTGAAATGTTCAACGAAAAAAATTGAATCGAAACGGACACGGATACAACACTTTATTTTAAATGTAGGACACGGCTCAACAAAAAATTCAAATTTTTTTATATAAAAAAACCCAACTCAAAAATAGAATTCTTTACGTTATATATTTTACATCCTCTATATAAAATTAATACAATTACACAATTAATTACAAAATTAAGATTCTTTATTTTATTTTTGCCGTGACTATTCGGTCTCCATTCTCTAAAGGTTTTCTTTTTATCTTCTCCTTCCTTCTTCTATTATGAATTTTTATTAATTAATGCTATATACAATTTTTAATAAATTATTTAAATATAAATATGTGTGTATTTTCGATCTCTATTTTATGTGTGTATTTTCCTCCACGGCATCACCACTCTATCAATGTGTCTCTAGATTAATTTGGACCATCCACTTTCACGGTATCACCATTTAATATTCTTTTATGCTTTATGTATTTTTCTTTTATTGAGAGACACTTTGTATTGATGTTATTTATAGATAAAAATTTGATGTCATCTTAGAATGAGTTTAATATTTCTGTGTATAGAATAAATACAAAGAATTGTTAAAACATTCTACTCATTATCTTTTTATCTTTTTTGATTGAATGCTTCTACATATAATTTTTATTTTATAGTGTTTATTTTATGTTGTTTATTTTGTTTTTGTATGAATTTTTAAGTTGTTTATTATATGATTTAAATTGTTTATTTTATCTTAATTTTTTAATATTATTTATTATTAAGATGAGTGTTTCTAATTCTAGTCAATCTCAAGCTAAAGAACAAGATGATACCACCATTTCATTTTAGAGAGGCTTTTTTTTTTATGTTGCCAACAATTCTATACCTGGTTATCAACCCCCAATTTATAATAAATTGAGGACCACATTACTTCAAAATGAGCGGGACCATGTGGAAAACTTGTTGTAGCCAATAAAAAATTCATGAAATCAAAAGGGTGTGACTATTGTTAACGATGGATAAAGTGATCCACAGAGAAGATCTCTTAATAATTCCATGGTTGTCACAGAGAGTGAACCTATATTTCTAAAGGCTGTAAATTTCTTTAATGAGGTAAAAGATAAAGAATTTATTGCTAAACACATAAGGGAGGTAATTATGGAGGTTGGCCCTTCAAATGTTGTGAATGTAGTAACAAATAATGCACTTGTTTGTAAGACAATGAGTTTAATTATCGAGGATGAGTTTCCTTCTATTTACTGGACCCCATGTGTTGTGTATACACTAAATCTTGCTTTGAAGAACATATGCGCAACCAAGGTAAGTGAAAACAATAGTGTTGTTTATAAAGAGTGTTTTTGGGTTACCGAAATTGCAGATGATGCAATGTTTATCAAGAACTTTGTCATGGATCACACTCTATGAGATTGTCAATTTTTACTTCATTCAGTCCATTAAAGTTCCTTTCGGTTGCTTCAACAACATTTGCGTCCACTATTGTAATGCTTAAGAGATTTAAGCTTTTGAAGACGAGACTTCAGCAAATCGTAATTAGTGAACAATGGTCTTCTTATAAAGAATGATGATGCTCAAAAGACACAATTTTTGAAGGATACCTTGTTCGATGATAATTGGTGGAAAAATGTTGATTATATACTTTCTTTCACTAATCCTATTTATGATGTTTTTAGAAGAACTGACACAAATGTGGGATTCAATGATTGAAGATGTTAGGAAGGCCATATATAAGCACGGAGGAATATAAATGTTGAAATGTCAACATTTCATCAGGTAGTCCATGCTATATTAATAGATCGTTGTACTAAAAGTAACACACCTCTCCATTTCCTAGCTCATTCTCTAAATCCAAGGTTATTAAGTTTTAAATTGATGTTTTTTAAATTACATCTTCTTTTAGATTACATAAATTTATAGATATATTTTTTATTGTAGGTATTGTAGTACATAATGGTTAAGTGAAGATCCTAATAGAGTTCCTCCACATCCAGTCACTGAGCTCACTAATGAAAAAGAAAAATATTTTTGAAGGTTATTTTCTGATGCAGATGAAAGGATGGCAGTGAATATAGAGTTTGCAAACTTCTCAGATGTAAGAGAAGGTTTTGACAATATTGATGCTATTGTTGATAGAGATAAAATGGATCCTAAAACACAGTGGTTGGTTTATGGTGCTCGAGCTCCATTACTTCAAAAGGTTGCGCTTAAGTTACTTCCGCAACCCTGTTCGTCATCATGTTGTAAAAGAAATTAAAGCACATATTCATTTATTCATTCTTTGACGAGAAACTAGAAGGCCTCACATCATACAAAAGCTTTAGTATATGTACATACTAACCTTCAACTTCTATCAAGGAGCACTCCCCAATATAATCAAGAGGAAACTAAAATGTGGGATGTTGCTGGAGATGAGTTTGGATCAGCTAACAAATTGCCCCCCAAAATTTCTTTTTCGAAATCATAGAGAAAATAACATTTTGAACATTTTTTCGACGCTAAAATGATTCCACTTTTATGATGTCATGGCCATCATGACCACATTTCCCCAAACGTCTCATCGAAACGTGCAAAATCGCAGAATATTATCACCACTCCTCCTTTGTAGGAGCATAGTGGCAGCTAAAAAGACAACCAATGGTATGGCCAAATAAAAGTAGACACGCGTCCCCTAACCCATTCCAGGTAACATGTTTTAACATCTGGTCAAACATAATTACTAGTGCATTAATTTTGTCTCCTCCTTTTCCTTATACTATTGTAAGTTGTATGGTATACAACCTCATTATCAACATATGTTTCTCCACTGGAATGAGAAGTCTCAAAGGCATTAACAAAAAGTTTGGCATGGCAAGCCTAATTGTTTATATTACGTGTTCCTCCCACAAGATATTTTCTTGTGAAGATTGATATTTTGAAAGTAGTTGCAATAGAAAATTGATAGGAGAAAGAAATTATATTACATGTTGTGATAGCCATAAGAGAAAGAAATTTGTAAAGATAAAAATGGTTACTGCCACTGTAGAGCTGAAGGTTGAAGATCATGTTTCAAACATCATGGAAACTAAGCCATGGTATATAAATATTGGGAGTTGTTGCAGAGAAATATGTCACATGTGTACTGATCTTAAAATTGAAGAAGGAAATATTTATGGAGTTTGTTAAGTTGAGAAGTAAACCAAAATGTGATACAAGATGGTTCAATATCTTACTCGTGCTTCTGAATTACCACTTATAGACTTATTGAGACTCGTGCAAGGATTTGTCACAAAAAGGATGGTTGATGATCAGGATGGAGGTTCTTTTAACTTTGAACAACCAAAAGTGGTTCAGAAGAAGAATCTAAAGAATATTAATGATTAAGGCCTAATTCTTCCCATTGGGGTTACTTCTCTTATTTCTGGAATTTTCACTATTAAAAACATGATATTGTGTTTGATAAAGCTGATATTGATGTTCCTCTGTGTCAGTTGAACCTTAGTCATAAGATGTATGTTCCAGATATTTCTCTCCATAATATTCCACATGTTAATAAGTATGATCTAGCTACTGATGGAAACATGATTGTTGTCCCACTCATGTATGGGCCTATGAGAAATCATCTCAGTCAAAAGTATTTTGGTGAAGAGACCCAAGAATCCAATATGGAAAATCAAAATATTGATAAATATGTGCCAAACATCTTGTCCGATATGTTGGAGAGGGAGTATCAAATTCATAAGGAGAATGATGGTGAGATCAATGAGAATAATTTTGTGAGTGACGATGTTCATGAAGATGTTGAAGGTGATACTCGTGTAACCCATGTTGGTGTTGTTAATAACCATGATGAGAAAAGAAATTTTGCATCAAAAGGAAAGCAGGATCATATTGTAGAAGATGTGGAGAAAAATATTGAGACATTGTGTGAAGATGTGTTGTTGCTGACAAATCAGGAAACACTATGCTATCTGCTGAAGAAGATGGAAGTTTTTATGATGCTGAAACTTTTAATCATATTGCCCATCTTGGAGCCATCAGATTGATTCCAAGTATGTCATGTATTCTGAAGCTTAAACTTTATCAGATGGATGTGAAAAGTGTTTTCCTCAATAGGTACTTGAATGTGGAATTCAACCAGGATGCTAGTAGTTATGTCATTGACAAGGATGGTGTTGTAACACTCTATTTCCCCAAACACATAATTATAATTAAATCATAGTTTTTAAAAACTTTTTCACATAGAATGTTACACATTTCAAAACACACATACACACACACTTGCTGATCATGTAAAATTTAATCTAAATAAACATGCAACACAATAATTTAATGCACAGGTTTTCACTTATGATGCCTACACGATATCAACTCATCTGATTTATACTTGGGATGTTTATATGACATCCAACCCATCTGATTTGTACTTGGGATTTTACACGACATCCAACTCATCTGATCTCATGGCAGCAAAATCATAATTAAAACACACAACAATTTGAATATCATAATAAAACTTCGTATTATAATTAAAAGCATTGACTTGTAAGTATTCTCCAAATGATTATCACAGCAACATCTCTACTCTTGGATATTTGCACGACGGTCGTGTAAAGACAACATTCAAATAGAAGGGGTCATAAATCACAATTAATAATAAAAAGCATATAATGTAAGGTAGGATTTCAATATATAACATATACTACACAATCTCAATCATAACATATATAAATTACATTCTCATACCCGACCCACCAATCAATCGCAGCTCAACAAATACAAATCAACAAACGTACATATAACTCGTTATGCAATGCAACTCGACTGTGTAATTATATGCATATACATGTAGTACCCACTCAACATTTAGTTCTTAACACTAAAATTTACATTGCTAATGAATCAAATAATTTTGAGTTTGATGATAAGATTGCCTCTAAAAATTCAAAGCAAGTTGGGAAATTTTTAGATATGAAGATTGGCTATTTTGACTATGTGAAGAAGAAATTTTGGAAAAACTCAACAAGAAAGTAAACAGTCAGATCCAGAAAGCGAATGGCACGTCATCATCTCTGAAAATCTCTCATTTTGAAGATCTAATTTTGGGTGATACGACATAACTAATTCAAACTAGATAACTATTAAGACGTAGTGGCGATACACCTTTGGGATTAAAACTCAAAAGCACCAACATGCTTCTAGAAAAGGTTGAACAAAAGGAATCTACAACAATACTATCTACAACTAGAGCTGAATATATATCAGCCTCTGAATGCAACACTCAGATCCTGTAGATAAAAAGTTAGCTAAAAGATAATCAAACTAATGAGAGTAACTTTCATATTCTTTGTGTTAATACTTCTACTACTTTTACCTATCTAAGAATCCTATTTTACATTGAAAGGCAAAACATATTGAAATCAAACATCATTTTATAAGGGAGTATGTTCAGAAGGAAATTTTAAAATTTATTGATACTGATCATTAATGGACTGATATCTTCACAAGAGTGAAAATATTTTTGCCTCTGAAAGTGTAAAATAAGACTCTGAGATATTTATCTCTGGAACGGTTAGCCTTCTGAAATAAGAAGGTTCTTTGATTCAGATTGGCCTTAATCAAAATCCTTCAGGGAACTTATGTCTCTTGGACTTTAAAGAAAATCAAAGGCCAAATGAAAGTTTTGTGACTCTGAAGTATGACAATTGCCATGCATGCAACTATCAAAATGATTAAAGAAACCTTTGGGTTGCTCCATGTCTTGGGAAAAGAAGAAATCATTATTTTTCTCTCTCATACGTCATTAATTTCTTAACGAGTATTAGTTATTATTATGGGCTTTTTCAAAATGTTTATTGTAATCTCATTCGTCCACTCTCTGAACCGAGATTTATTCTAAATATTTTCATAAAACTCTTACTCTTATTCTTATTTCCCTATTTAAACTCCCAAACCTTTCTCCCATACACTCACTTTCACTTGTGTCTATAAAATTATCTCATTCTAAAAAAAAACTCTTTCGTTGCTACTCTAACCACCTTCCAAAATGTATTCAAGAACCTTCAACCGAGATGAAAACCTTCTGTTTGTTATCAATAAGAAGCTAGTTTTGTTTGATGAGTTGAGAGAATAAGGTTTTGATCTAATAAAATTATTTTCAAACAACGGTGGAAAGGTTACTTTGACATGCTTAATGCACCCATCTATCCTAATCTTGTTAAAGTGTTATGTATAAATGCCTCAATTGGACAGTCTGGTCAGGATGCTCCGGCAATACAGTCCTATGTCAACGACTTTCTTATCACCATTACTCCATCACTTATTTCTCAGGAAATTGGGTGTGAAGAAAAAGGTGTATATATTGAACAATATAGATTCAATAATGTTTTCTCGACCCTCCTTTTCAACGTCTTTGCCAACTTCAACAAGCTCGACAGTTATGCTACTCTCATTCCGATTGCAAAAGTTTGACATCAACTTCTGGTGTCAAATCTCTATCAAAGAGAAAGGTAATTGGAAGTGCTTACTTCATATGACAAACACCTTTTATACTTCCTTATCTATAATGTCAAAGTTAATCCCCCTCTTATCATCTTTAACTTCTTAAAGGAAATGATCGTGACCTTTCACGGGGAAATGACTTTTCTCATACCTTATGGGATAAATCTTTCTGAACTTTTCTCTCAGGTACAGATAGTTAAGAAGGTAAAAAGAGAAAGTTTAACGGAGACTCTTGAAGAAGAGTGCAGTCAGATGTGTGAATATGCGGAATAGTTTCTCTTCCATGTCTCATTCAAACTCAACATGTTGTTTGTATTCCTTATTTTTGTAATTCGTTATTAATTATCAATGAAAAATTTTCTTTGTTTTATGTATTTAATATTATCATCATATCTTTTTCTTTTTGATTGATGACAAAGATGGAGAAATGTAATGATTTTTATATATCTTTATTCCTATAATAGAACCTAAACATGATATACTATTATTATGTGGGAGACTTATTAAGCAGACAATCAAATTTTGTTTTGATAATAATAAAGCTCTGAAACATTATGATAACCAAATAGAAGTTTATTATCATGCTGAATATGTTTTTGGCATTTCAAAATTATTCTAGTCTCATTCTCAGGGGGAGTTTACAAACCTCACTCTAAAGAAATTGAGAATAATTTTGAGAGTGTAAAACTCAGGGGGAGCTTACAAACATAACTCTGATGTTTTATCTTTTGAGTGTAAAACTCAGGGGGAGTTTACAAACCTCACTCTGATATTTTATATTTTGAGTATCAAAGAATTATTCTAGTCTTATTTCGAGGGGAGCTTACAAACCCCACTCTAAAGAAACTGAGAATAATTTTGAGAGTGTAAAATTCAGGGGAGGCTTACAAACCTCACTCCGATGTTTTATGTATTGAGTGTAAAACTTAAGAGAAACTTACAAACCTCACTCTGATGTTTTATATTTTGTGTATAAAGTAAAAATTGTTTATTAAAATACATGGATTTGTCATCATAAAAAAGGGGGAGATTATTGGAACAAATTTGGTTATGCAGCGGTCTTTGAGTTTTGATGATAATAAAGCTGATATGTACAAAGAACAATTTTGTACTCTAATTATATTGTTAAGTGCGCAGATCAAAAGAAATCAAATTTCGACTTTGAAAAAGTCAAGTATGGACGAACCAAACACTGAACTAAACACATCTGAAGTATGATCTATGCAAAATCTGAAGAATGAAAAATCTGAAGCAAATAGACTCTAAATAGAAGAAACAATATGAACTATAAAAATAACCAAAGGAGACATGTTTAAATAGAAGTCAAGCATCTAGATTATCAAGTTTGTATTTCTGCAAGAATCTGTTCCGTATGAATCTAAGAAAGACTCTCATATTTCAAGCCTATGAAGTCTTAAGACTTTGAACTCTATAAACTCTGAAGTCTCATTTTTCCCAAATTCTAAAGACAAGCTTTGAACTCTACTAAAGCTTCAACAACTTATATTCAAAGCCTCTGACTAGAAGTTAATGACAAGAAGAAGAATACGTAGCAAGAAGACAACCAATACAAGATCAAATATTTCTTCCACTACTCTGAAAATATGGAAAAGCACAATACTATTGTATCAATGTGTATTGCTTCATTTCATCCTCTCATCCACTACATGTTTCATGCTACTCCACTATGGTACTATCAAGCATCTCCACAACTATATTTTTTTGTGAATTTTTCAACTTCACCCTCCAACCGATCTATTTCATTGCCTATTTAAAGATGTTTTGAAAGCTTGGATAAAAAGATTGAATGTGACGAATTATAAGAGATTGAAAAAGCTTGTTGATACTTTGTAAATAGAAAAACAAAAAAATATCACAACAAGAAGAAACGAGCAAAGTGTTGAGAGAACTCTAAGAACAACAAAAAGAGAAACACTTAGAACTTTTAATTTCAAATCATTTAAGTGTAACATTTTGATCTTCATTTTATGTAATCTTCTTATTGAGGAAACAAATTTGTAAACAAACAATTCTTTTATTTAATCTTTTGGTTAATTTCCTTGAGTGACTAAGTGTTAGTCGGATTACCCGAGAAATCATTAACGATTAGTCTTTGAGTTGTAATTCCTTGAGAGACTATGGTATATAGTCAAGATTCTCAAAAAGACATTGACAATTAATTTTTTGTGGCTGTAATCAAATTATTGATTAATAGATTAAATCCTTATTGAGAAGGCAAAGTCATCTTGGCGGGTGAACTAAACTAACCTAATTAAAAAAGAATTAGGATAAAAATACGTTATTTTTTTAATCATTGTTGTATCTTTATTATTTACGTTCTTAGTAGAGCAAAAAATTTTAATCTTGAAATCTAATTCATACCCCAAATTTCTCGTTTGTCTGCATTTTTATAGATAAATTAATTTTGCACTTATTGAACTCTTTCCTTTATTTTATTTATCTAAGGTCCCTATGAATTGGCAGTATGCTGTTAAGTGTTAAATAAATTGGTAGCATTTTCAAGTTCAATATTAATTTTTTCTCA